ATTCTTTTTCTTTAACATCCTACATTGTTTTCATTTCTTTGTACAGTAGCATTACATGTGAAGAAACAAAAGAACAAAAGAGACCATTTTTCTCACTTGATGTGCTCCAAGTAATCCTCTTAATTTGTCCCTAGCCTCACACATTGTTACACATGACACAACGGTGCATGAACGCCGTGTTGCCTGTTTGAGTCCCTGAGCGCGTACAGGCGAGATTGCACAGGTTTATGGTAACAGATAGACCTGCTAATACCAGGTAGTAAATCGCTTTATCACAAAGCTGTAAAGTAGAACCATGAATACTAAGTACCTTTGAACCAGTCAGAAATAACTGGAGAGAGCTCAGAGGAGGTTGAAACATATATCAGGTAATACATTTCGTACTTATATTATACTAAGTACATGGTACAATGTACATACAACACTTGACATTGTCTAGTGGGAACAGGCACATGCTGCTAGAAGATACAATGACATAAGTTTACTTTCAGGTGAAGAGTTTATACAGAGCTTTTACTGTTAACACCCTCCACTTTAAGTTTGGAATTCCACTTTTCCTATTTTGACAAGTGCTAATACATGTATTTTTCATATCAAAGCATTCAAATTAAAAGTGATCATAAATATTTGACAAGTATGATGTAAAGTGAATGATTTTAATGAACATTCTGTTTTCAATTTCATTGTGAAAATTTAATTTCTGCAGCAGAAATTTCTGCAGAGAAGAACAACATCCCTCTAGAAATATCAAAATGAATACAGTATAAAGCAACAGGTGGTTGGAAGTGTTTTATAACAAGATTATCTACAAATGACAGTCTGGGTCATCATTTGGCAAGAGCCTCTCTGAGACAAATGAGTGAAAAACAGCTTGACAAGAGATCTATTTCAGATCAATTTTTAAAAAGAGTTTGTTTTAAGTAACAGCTGCATGCAAAATAAATGGTGCCTTGTCTTCATTTTTGCATACAAACTTTCCAATTGACAACCTCTATAATGGCCATCTGGCTATAACAACCACTTATTTTTTCCACATAGACCATGGTACCACAACTCGTTAATAACATTCTTTCAAGAGGAAATGATAATTATACATAATTATTGTAACTGCATGCATGTAAGTTATTAATGTTTGCTTCTTCAAAGAACGTTTTCATGAGCCGTTTTCTCAGGTTCTGAATCAGCCGCCATGCTCACTGACGTCATTGGCAGAATTTAATTGGATGAAATGACAGCAGCAGAAATCAAGAATTGGAAGAATGATTTCCAAGATTTGATGTTAATCAACATCAGAAGAGTGTAGTTTTGATCCAAGTGTCTGTGTTCATTAAATAATCATGATTGACTATTTTGAGGAACTTGTGTTTTAGTGTTATTGGTGTTATATGGTCTTTAAAAGCTGAAAAAAACTATCCTTTTCCTTCCTATGCAAAATACAATCACTGCAGAGGTATACTTAGTTGTACTATTATTTATTTATCTCTCGTAGTAGATCTTTATCACATTTATTGATCGGCCACAACTTCTAATAGTCTAACAAGTGTAAGTTAGGTAGAACTGGTCGTTCTGTGTAATATTTGTGTAGCCAGCTGCCACTATTCCATGTGCCTGTAAACCTAGTGTGTTACGCTGAAGGGCTTAGCTTAATTTATAGCAGCTATACAGATACAGAGTCTAATAGGATGTGTGGGTAGTATACCGTAGTGACCATGCCAGGTTAGCTACCAGTAACTAAAAGCTTTGTAGTGGTGTGTAAGTGATGGATGCTAGGTTTGATGAACAGTAATGGTGGTTCCTTCGTGATAACTTCAAAAGGCATCATCTGGCCTGTGTGGGCTGTGATGCCATGTGTAGGTAGAAATGATCAATTATGTGTTTGGACGGGTCAGTACTTCTGTCTTACATGCATGATTTGGGCACTCGTTTCTGTATCTGTGAGATGGTCAGGGGTTAACCCACAGTTCTGTAAAAAAAGCAGATGACCCTGGATTCCTGACTACAGTTCTTTGGTTTGGACCTTCACCTACATGATTGTAATTATAATTACTGATGTAAATAGTAGCACTTTATACAAGTAGGAATATGCTCCAGGTCATCTTCCTTTTTCTTTTAAGATCTTTTGAATCAATTTATATCAGAATTTTGTGTTAGCAACAACGATATCGCCACCTGACATACTTCTCCTTTCAATATCTCTGAAGGGGGCATTTAGAATCAATCTAACTAAGACTTGTTTTCTCCTTTGATTTTCCTAGGCTGACTGTTACACAATGTCTGACTGTGGGGGCCCAGACAGTTGGATAGGCATTTAGGAGTGCAATTTAGTCTGGCTACTTTGATATGTATCTAAATCTCTGATGGCTTTACCATTTTTCTTGCTACGAAGCCTTTTAGTCTAATAGACTTTCATGGCTTGCTACAAGCTTTTCACACTAGACTTTCCTACTTCAGGCGCCAATTACTGATACCATCTGACATTTATTTCACTGCCTTATGTCCGACATGAAAGTACCGTGTAGGTGTGTTGATTGTGTTGATGGCAAAACCAACACCAACTGCAAATTGACCTATATCTGCCTTCTATCTTCCCACAGACTAGCCTGGGTTCCAGACCCATAGCACACTGGACACAAATATCTCAGTGAGCCCTTGCACACTGAGATATTTTGTGTCCAGTGTGCTTTGGGTCTGGCATCCAGGCTACCCACAGACGTATTTCATCTTGTCTACATCAGATAGCATTAACAGGCGAATGGCAATAAAGAACAGAATTTGCAGTTACTTACTTGAACCCATGTAGAAATGCACTTAAGGCTATTTGACAATGTTGTGTAACAGTTGTTACTCCTACGTACGTTTCCAGACTACTTAAAAAGTTTTTATGTTGGAAATGTTGCCTAGTGTTGTCTGTAACTTGTGTGTAAGTTGTCATTTATTAGAATGAAGATCATTATAGATTGTATTATACTAAGAGTCTAGGCCAGGGATCTAGCCAGCATCTGTCTTTCTGGTCTATGTGGACAGTTGATCAGTATAGACAGGATTTAATTAATAGTCAATAAGAAAAATTATATACAGATAAGGCCACACCAAGTAAATTTTATGGATGACGTCCGCGCGCGCATTGATTTTGGCCTGTTCCTAGAAAAAAAAAAAAGAAATGCTGCTTCCTGTAACTATGACCAAAGAGTCACAACAGTGCCGCAAATCGTCAGATTGACGTGAAACCTGTAACGTGAAAACAGGACAGGACGACAACTGCTGTTCCACCTGATTTATTGCTGTTTTGACGATGAAAAAAAGACTTCTTGCTTGTTACACTGTGTCACCTCATTCAATTTGTGTCCTAACATTTGTCGTCTCTAAGTATATTTCTAATCTAGGCATCTTGTTTTTTAGGGTCCTTCTTGTTTTTTTTTCGCCCTCTCGCATTAGATTTAGGGTCTCCAAAGGACGTCATCCATAAAATTTACTTGGTGTGGCCTAAGTGGTCATATTGGCCAGTAACTGTTGGTCGTTCTGTTATATAGAGGTTGTGATTTCTACAATTTTGAGTGTAGACTGTGTAATATAATTGGCATTACCTTACTCAATATTATTTTCCTATTTAGTGCCGTATTTTCTCTTCCATTGATCTTTTGAGTCAGCTGCCCACCATACCCAAACTGTGTGATGTCTGTCAAGCCTAAAATCAATATTATTATTATAGTGATTGCTTCGCCAGGTGTATTAGAGGTCATCAACCGAATGCTTGTTCTCTACTCTTTCATTTTTTTCACTATTCAAATTAGTGTTATTCAAAGCCCCTTGTAGGTTGTGACTATTGAACCGTGCATGGGAGAATCTTGGGCCTTAAACGCTACCACATATGTGAGGGAATAGAAAAACATCTAAAAATACAAACTGAGCAGCCTTCAACTTCTGGATTTCCCCTATTAGGAGTCATTGCTGTATGTGGCACTAACAATAGGTTTATTTTTGTGCCTGACATTTCAAGATACTAAAACTTGATAATTGGTGCCGTACAGTGAATGTACTGTTTGTTAATGAGTCGGTTCATTGCAGCCCACTCAACAGCTGTCACTGATAAGTACCATTATTCAAAATTTTAAGTATCCTGCATGTAAAGCAGTATAAATTATGTTTTACTTTCTTAGGGTCTCTCTTCCTTTTCCTACAACCTTTTTCAAGGCTTGAAATACCACCAGCATATACAGGTTAGTGTAGGTAAAATTCGAGCTGTGCAGGTACATGTATATTGCTGATGTCTACCAGCACCTAACCTACACTGGGCCATGTAGTGGGTTTGTTAACTCTAAGTGCATGTGTATTTTTATTTAACTGACGTGTATTGACTGTCATCACCTACGAGGTATAAAAGACATACTGGCCATGGTTTCTAAACAGTTGTTAGTACCAGTATGATCCATTCTTCCTAAATTCCTAAAGTGTGTGCAGGTACATTTGTACATTCAGGGCTCAAAATTCATTTTTTAGAATAGGTGCACTGACCAAAAAAAATTAAGTGCATGACGATTGTGTTTTTTTGGGTGCACCATATAAAAATAAACCTAGTTACAGATCTTACTACTCCTCTTCTGAGCTTGAATCTGAAATGTGAGCTACATGTGACTTCAAAATCTTAAACAAGTACTACTGTAACATCAAAGATTTTATTACTTTTTTGACACTTAGATGCCAAGAATATAGGATAATACAAAAATACCTACAAAAATATTTGAATTCACCAGTGAACCCACTGAAAAAAAATCAATTGGATGCACAGCTCCAATTTTAGGTGCACTTAAAGGTGCACATGCACCCAGCATTTCGAGCCCTGATGTAGAAGTGCTAGGCACTTTCCGGGTTTATTGCCTGCAGGCGCACTACGCTCTGCCGAAGTGCTGCTAGATGCTATATTAACCACCGTGCTGACTTGCTCCAGCCCGCCCCGTGCACCACTGACGTGTAGCGTGTATCTCTCCCTCCTCCCTGCTTAGCTGGCAGAGCTGTGTGCTACATTCCTGGGGTACCAGGAGGGTGTTCGCCATGTGGTGAAGAACCTCACCATCAAGAAACTGTCCCCCTGGAGCCAGACCTACCTCAACACACACACCTTCCTGTACAAACCTGCACAGGTCAGTACATGGCACACTTGTACTGTTATAGTTGTATGTCAATCAAAATGTATGTGTTCAGTCACAACAGCTTAACCTGATTTTGTATGATTGTGATGATAATATGTCACTTGAAATTGAAAAACTAGTATCACACCTAACTGTACAAGCCAGGACAGGTCAGTATATTTGTATGCATTTGCATGCATGCATTTCTGTTGTTATTAATTGCAATGTATGTTTATTCATTTAACAGTTTGACCATATTTTGTATGATTGTGAATTTGATGATAATCAAAGATTATCATAGCACATGCATGCTATATGGCACTGAAATTGAAAGAAGTAGTACACCTTCCTGTACAAGCTGGCATACATGTAGGTTGTATACATGTGTGTCTGGTGTGTCTGGTCTGTTATTATCATTACAATTATGTATTCAGAACAGCATATCATATTTTGTATGATTGTGATGATAATCAAAGATTATCGTAGCACATGTCCATGAAATTGAAAGACCAGTTGTGTAGTACACCTTCCTGTACAAGCTGGCATACATTGTAGGTTAGTACATATATACATGTGAAGCTGGTATTTGCATTTACATGGCATGCATGCATGCCTTTTTGTTATTACCAATTTTCATTCAGAACAGCTTAGCCATATTATGTATGATTGTGATGATAATTCTATAATCAAGAATACAAAAATCTAGCACATGACGTTGAACTTTTAAGTATTGCTCAATGTTTGCAGTTACTTTTCTTCCAGTTGTTACATTGTATTGTCAAGGCAGGCAATCAAAAATTTGTCAGGTACAGGTAATTTTCAGAGTTGCCTGCACAAGTTAAAGACAGAGTTTGGAGAGAGTGTATATTTGAGCACCTGATACTAGTAGATTACATTACAACAATAAATATCCTGCTTTAAGTTTCTAACCTTTTCTACAAGGTAAAATGTGATATTTCTGTCCAGAAAGCAGTTCAGTACCAAGGAGAAGCCTTCCAGTGTAGTATGCCCTTGCAAGATGGAATATCCTACAGTTACTGCCTGTGTACCTTTCTCTTTGTGAGCATTGCACAAAAAATTATGAGGGAATAACCGGAAGTTCAAGGAATAATTTTTTCAAAACATAATCATAGGAATTTTTTCATTCATTAGGGAAAATATTTTTATTTATGTAAGATTATCATGCAATAACTTGCAATATTAGTGAAAATACCTATAACAGCCTCCACGTTAATTCTGGACTTCCAGTTTAATTCTGGACTAATTCCCATATGATATCTCAGCAACCTTACATCTAGATCATGGGCTAATATTATAAACTATAAGTAAAGATGATGTAAGAAATGTGTATACATGTGTGTAGCAGCCATCAAGGAACACTTAGAGATTAACCCAATTTTGCAGAATTCTTCCCAGAATTCTGGCTCCAGTTCCCAGATTTCTGCAGAATTGCGACTCCAGTTCCCAGAATTAATTCTGCAGAATTGCATTAATCCCTAAGAGTTCCTTGATGGATGCTACATTATACACATTTCTTACATCATTTTTACCTATAGTTTATGATATTAGCCCATCTAGATTTAGATAAGGATGCTGTGATATGGAAATTAGTTCGGAATTAAACTAGAAGTCCAGAATTTAACTGGAGGCTATTCTATCTTATTTTTTTTAATTTAAGCCTTGGCCTGAGATACTTTTCAACTCTGTATGAAGAAATGTGAAAGAAACCCTATAATGCCTTCAGGACCTGCTTGTTTGGGTAGATGATAAAAAAAACAGTTGTCAGTTGAAATACTGTGATGGCCTTTGAAATTCAAAACACTCTCAAAATTGGAGAATCGTGAAACACAGCTTACACATTGATGCCTCTTTATGTTTCATTGTGCATTCTCATTGTGCAGTCTATGTGTGTATGGCACGGTATCCACATATAAAATTTTATGTTTTACTTTTTGGGAAGGAATGACTTCAAACCATAAAATCGGGCTTTAAGAGGGAAACGAAGGCCAATTTAATGTCCTTTCATGCTGTCTATTGGCAATTTGGGACATCGGATAACAAGGTTTAACATCTTCAGAGCCGTTAATCCAGCCTCTTTTCTAATACTGCATTTACTGTCGACCATTTCATTTACTTTAAAGTCTGCTTAGCAGGGTTGGGTCGATATAAAGGATCTAATATATGTTAGACCTGAGCAGAATGAATTCTATGAGCAACAATGTACAAAAACATGATATATACATGTAATATGAAATTGATGAAGAATCATTGGCTTTGTTCATTGCATTTGTCAAAGGAGTCATGTTTTAGACCGTGTTGTGTGTGTTTGTTTGTTTGCTTTTTGGTTCCAGCATTTTGATTTATTAGAGCTCAAGTCGTTGAAGATCTCCTTCCCTAATTCTGCATAAAATTTAAAACCAACGCATGGAGGTGCTTCATTCAATCACAGCCTATGCCTTTAAGTATAGTAGTTGACTGAAACTGCAAAAGCTCCGTGCAGCACTTCACAATATATAAGATCAGTGCAATGGTCATTCAATTCTGATTCACATTTTAGTTCCAATCATAGTTGAAAAGATTGCTGACATTGTTAGATACTCCACGACCAAACTTTAATTTTCTTGATATGATATTCTATTCATGTATGTTGTAGCATCCATTCGTGCATCTCAAAAATTGGTCATGTTTGAGTTTACATGTATGAAATTGGAGAGGTGGAAAATGATAGTGCTATGGCTGAACGGACCATGTGGTATGTACATGTGTATGCAGAACATGGCTTAGATGAGCTTGAAAAATCTGTCTGTGTGGCATTCAAGGTGCCATATTTCTTCTACTGAGGAAACCATAATCTTGTCTGTATCCTCAGGCAGTCTCATGAATATTCGGAAGCTAGATTCATTTGGTTGAGTTAAAATGATTACATCCTTTTGGTAATGGCCCTCACCAAATTAAATCATTGGTTCACAAATTCGCTGCTTTTTTCTGATTTCTGAGTCTGAGGCTCTGAATCAACTCTAAAATGTTATAAATAATACTATTATTAGGCCACACCAATTTAATTTGTTGGTTCTCGGATTTTTTCAGAAAAAATATGAAGCGACAGGGCGAAAAAAAATAAAAATAAAAACAGGTCTAGGCATCCTATTATAGGCTTAAATGCTATGGAATGAGCCATGAAGTCAACACAAAAGGCTGGGTTAAAATTTAAACATTGAATTTTGAACTTTTAATCAAACCACTGCAATGATAGATGGGAAAACTGTAACAACTAGGAAG